CTGCCAGCCATTTTCAGAACAGAGAGTCCCATACTGCCAGAGTTTTTTGAGCATTTTGACTGATTTTTCAAGAGCCACAGAATAGTTTGTGCTATGACTATGTAAACACCGAACACACCAAAAGAAAGAGTAGACTCTCTTCTTTCATCAGGAAAAAAGAAATTGTTTCTACCTTATTCCGTTCTTCCTCAACTTGCGTCTCACCGACGCCATTTCTCGCATAGCGAAGCATTACGTTTTTCTTATTTGCCTACAGTCTATGCTCATCTCCCATCAAAAGTGGCACTGCCCCCTAGAGGGTCAATTTGTTACTACATACTCTGTCTAGAAGCCGATATTTACGGACCAGCTTTAGCAGATCGTCCCCCAGCCACTCTCGTTAAAAAAACATAAAAGACGTCTATAGAAGTCTTTGGCAGCCAATGAGTTAAAATCCCTCCATGACCCTTGGTAACGTTGGAAAAGGCTCCGGTCGGGTTCTCGTTAACCCTATAATACCATACATATCATATTTTATACACACGGTTTCTAAAGTCTTTTGGATCTGAGACTTTTGCATCATTCAGTGGTAAAAGCTTTGCTCAAACCCCTGTTCTACACATTCAGATATACCTGATAACAGCCAGTAGAAGACTACACCAAAATATATTTTTGACTTATTGCACGCTAATTTGATCAACATAATTTCTGTTTTTTTTCTTCATATGTTGTTTAGTGGACAAAGAAAGACTTCAGACTAAAAAAATCCAATATTCTTCCTATTTTTCTTGGATCGGGCTTTAAAGGGTTAAAGTTAATCTGCCGAGTTCTGCATGATAATAACCTCTGAGAGTAGAAATTGTACGTTTCTAAACTCAAGACAACCCTTAATTTATTTTATACATGCTATAGAAAGATAATTGAGAACAAACTTACTGGAATTCAAAGGAGTTAAGGCACTTTAATATGCAGCCAAAAATAAATAGATTTAAGTTTGATCATTTTAGAATAATTTTTCTGAGTTTCTAAGTTTGACTCATCGTTTTATTAATAGATTTTTCATTCATGAATTGGACTTAATGGATAAGAAAGCTCAGATGAAGCAGAAAGCTGCTAAACGCCTGAGAGATTTAGTTATTAATTTTGATCCGAACGGGTTCTGTTTTGGCTTCTGATACACGCTGGCGCCTTTTTCTGATTTAGCGCCGAAGCAAATGGGGTTTGGTGTTTGGATGATTGTTTCCGATAATGTCTGATACTTCATGGGCCAAAATACTTTTGAAATATTCCCATTTACATAAAAAAAGAGGCCCGAGGCCGTTTGTTGCTCCCCACGTCTAAACATTTCAATTTTCTACCCAACTGAACACAATTTCAATGATCTGCCATCAACATTGGTCATTCAGAGTGTTTCTGAATGGTGCGGCTAGCATGACTCAGCAGAGGAGCTGGTCACTGTTAGCCTGGAGAAAGCATGACTCAGCAGAGTAGCTTATATTTTCATTGTTTTGCAGCTTCTTTATTTACTTTTGGTCGTTTTACTGCCTTTTCCACTTATTTTTCATTCTTTTTCTACTGCTTCCACTTATATTTTCATTGTTTTGCTGTTTCTTCCGCTTATTTCTGGTCGTTTAGCTGCTAACCACCATTAACCCCTCCAGGTGACCCCCCCCCCCCCAGCAGGAGGGACCAGAGCCACCTTTGGTTTCCCATAATTCTTTAGTTCCACCTACAGTATATTAAACTGACTCAGCCTTTTTATTGATCGTTTTTCTGCTTCTTCCACTTATTTTTTGGTTGTTTTGCTGCCTTTTCCACTCGTTTTTCATTGATTTTCTACTTCTTCCACTTATATTTTCATCGTTTCGGTGCATCTTTTACTTATTTTTGGTTGTTTTACTGCCTTTTCCACTCGTTTTTCATTGATTTTCTACATCTTCCATTTATATTTTCATCGTTTTGGTGCATCTTTTACTTTTTTTTTATCGTTTTACTGCCTTTTCCACTCATTTTTTACATCAAAAGCTTTCATATGTCCTCTTCCTGAGTCAGAGCCGTTTGAGCGCCACGTGCACGCCATTCGCCGCCACACGGACTCACAACGGCGTTGAGTCCTGCATCTGTCACGCTGTTGCTAACACAAACATCCAGGCTGAGTCGGATCACCTCTGCCAAGAAATCCCCTTATCAGCACCTGGCACGCCGGGGCCGGCTGGCGGCGCCCCAGAGGCCCCGCCCCCCCGCCCCCCCGCCTTTATTTGCCTGATGGATTCATAATGACAACATTAGCTCACGCCGTCAGACGGCCGGAGCCCAAATCTGGGCCTCCGCCGGTGGTTTGGGAGACGTTTCCCGGCTCTCCGAGGCCGGTTTTCCAACCCGGCCGCGTTTAATCCGGCATCCATGATGCTCCCAGACTCATCTCCCAGGTCCTCTCACTCTGCAGACGGGATTTATTGGGGACAAATCCTTATTGATAACCAGCAGAAAGGCGACAAGAGAGAAGATAAAGCAGCAAAATGTTAGCACGTTAGCATGTTAGCATCCGAACGCATCGTGACTCAGGAAGGTTGGAGGACGGAGGTCCAGATTTGAGCTGTTCTTCTGTTTTCTGGGAAAACTGGGATGATGAATCCGATGGAAAACTGTTAGCCCCCATTGCTCTGATCTTTAACAGAAGATCTGGTCCCCCCCCCCCCTCTGGACCAGCTTCTGCTTTTAGAAGCTTAAAAACACCTCCAGGTTTGGCTCCCAACCAGCTGTGATCTCCATGTTTCCGTCTCATAATCCTCCCTAAAGTCAGATGATTCATCTTTTCTTTTACCTTACAGTAAAAGTAAGAACTTCCTCATGTCAGACGTCCGTTTTTTTTCCTGGTCCAGAGTTTGTCGTACAGAAGTTTCTTTTTTTTCTCTCATAATTTAACATGTTTATTTACAGTTTGAAGGCGTATCCAAACACATTGCTCCACTTTTAAGTCAACCGTTGAAGGTTTTTTTTTCTAAATTGGCGCCCCATATTTACATTTTGAGCTGCTTACATTTTTGTGGTTCTCACAAAAAGAAATTCCAACTTTTTCATGCTCGGATTGGTTGATTTTTGTCATTTTTGGTCCGATGCGTTAAAACAAAGTGACACAATTTAGGTTTTGCAGACAAAACACACAACACAAAACAAAGTTAGCCATTTTAAATGGTCAAATGTATGTTTAAAAGGTCAGTTATTAGGGTTTAATCCTCTGGTTGGAGCCCGTATTGGCCCGTACTGGGCGCGGTGCCCAGATCTTTATGGATTTATGCTAATGGCCGCTGACCCGACGTGCCCAGAGGTCCTGGGAGGTCCTTGGAGGCCAAGCGGCAGCCCGGCGTATCCGTTTTTCCACCTTTCCCAGAACGGGAAAACTCGGAAAATGCGTTTCTAATGGGCCCTCCCTCCATTATCCGGACCGATCGGCTCCCACCTCCTGGGGTTTATGGATGTTTTTGTCCTTTTTTTAGCCAAACCCCGACAACCTGTCCCCAAAAAAAGAAAAAGGTCCCCAATCAGGCTTCGGTGGCCTCCTAATTCTTCACTGAGCTCCAACTAGAGCTCCGATTTGGCCACTTTCTGCTTTTCTTTGCAGCTTGCTCTTGTTCTTGTGTGGTGGGAACAAACTTTTCTGGAGTATATGAGGAATCTGACCTGTGTGTGTTTACAGAAAAGCCAATTTTTTACATTAGCATAGTTTAAAAATAGAAACATTATTAACGTAGTTACTATTTCACTTATTTAGATGTATTTTTGTTTGGATATATCAAAGTAATTCCTTAATACCTGCAAAGAATGCGGTGTAATTACCTAATAAGATGACACAATGTTGTGTTTCAGCTTCAAATCAGATAAATAACTTCTTAGGGAACATGTTCTATCAAATATTGTGACATGTTAAGTCTTTTTTCTTTAAATTTCCTGCATTAGATTGCAAATTGTATAAAAAATGCTGCGACACAACGGAAAGATTTAAGGACAACACGAAAACGGATAATTCCCTCCTATTTCCATTCAGCGTCAAACCAGATTTTGATGTGAACCGACATAAAAGGCTCATCTAAATGCACGGGTTGCACCTTGTTGGCAGAGAAAGCCG